TTTTGGAAGGAACCTCAGAACCACAACTTCCCTGCAACGTGCTTAAATCTGCGATTCGTGGTTGTGGCTGCAAAACATTAACACTTGCTGGAATCGGTGCTCAACTGGGCTGGACTTGCTGACTGCAGACTGCCTATTTGTTGAGCTTACCTATGTGGGAAGCCACCGACACCCACTCAAGGATTTCTTTATGACGGGCTGTCCATTTATAATCACCCCGTGGAGATCAAGATGGATCAAGGGTGCACAACATGGGCACCGCCTCTGCCATGTTGCGCTACTTAGATCGAAATGATTCCATTTATTTTCCCGCGCACTCCAGTTGGATCAAATGTCACCAGTCCACTCCAATGCAGTCAGTCACGCAGTCAGTCACGCAGTCAGTCAGCGCCGGCAAGGCCCAAGCATCGCCGAGCTCGAAACTGTTCGCCTGGAGCGCAGAATGGGAAGGGGCGCAGACGACGAAGATGTGGAGGCTGTAGATGATGTAGATGTCACATGGAAGACTTGGGAAGACTCGCTCTGCTGTGTTTTTTTTTAAACCCGCCCTGACTTAGTTAATTAGACAAGGGAGAAATTTGCCATTAGCAATAGGAAGCTCCTAGGTAGGACGCAGAATAGCTCACGCTTCCTTGAAGAAGCGCTCGCACTAATGATTTGTTCCTAAATGTTTAAACACAGGAATAGGAGGAGAAAGGGTGAGGCTCGCAGAAAAGAACACATTGATATATGACCTTTGAGTTACGTTGATAAAAAAAACATCCTTTTTTGGGGGGGACACGTAACTCAAAGGTCATGTAACTAATGGTATTCCCCACATTTCCCAACATCACACACTCAACATCACACCTCTCAACATCACACAGTCAATATCACACAGTCCCTGACACTGTGATTGGCAGTCTTTCGGAGGGTCTGCTGTAGCTCTTGCCACGATTGTCGCCTCCGGTCGCCCCCATCGCCGGACTCTGACTCCCTCTCCGGCCGTTCTACAGAGAACGCGGCCCCGCCACACCACGATCAAAACGGACCTCAACCACAAAAGGACATGCGCGCAACTTCGATCTCTATACTGGGACTGTTCCGGTTCATCCTGATGTCACGACATGCTGACCACATAACTTGCTTTGCGCAGGAAAAAATTGACCGAACACGTGACCTTCACAGACATGTTTTTGTGCTATTACATAATACCTAGATGTTCCGAAGTCTTTTATTTCTGCCCGAATGGTTTCAGGCTGCTTTTTCAGCCCGAATTTCCAGGAAAAGGCAATAATTACAGTCTTTTAGAAGATGCAGGTATATACAGACTTGAGAAAACTATACATGTGGGGTTATCCGGTCCTTTAATTTTTCCGCGAGGAACCTCACCCTTTCTCCTCCTATTCCTAGGTTCCATGCTGGGGTGTCAAAGAAGAAGCAGAAGACAGAAGAAGTGAATCGAGGAAGAGATGAGCACACTTGGCATGGCTCTCTCCAGTGATTCATGTGGATATGCCACTAATATTTGGCAGAACTGACCTTGGATGTCCTGCACTGCAGCTGTATTTGCTCAATCGACTAAAGGGCACTGCGATTTACAAGGATCGACTGGCTGGGCTGCGAGCCGCCGACTCGTCTGCAGTTAGCCATGGGGTTTTCGGTCCATGTTCAAGTCATGACGACCAGTTTGGTCACCCGAGTTCAAAATCATTCCGGTTCGCGCCGCGAACTGGAACAGACAACCTGGGCAATTGCGAACAAGGTGTGAAGCCCCTTCGGCTCGGGGGATACTGTAGACTCTTGATTCATAAACCCACTCCAATTGGATTGAACAACCTCTTCCTATGGCAGGTTATGAATCAAGAATCAAGAGTCGATATTAATTATAACATTATGATATACAGTATTTTTCATACCCGGTTCCCTACGCACGTCCAAATCAAGCGTATCTGGTACAGCTCCCACTGACTGCGCTGTTACGTTCGTTCAATGTGTCTAGAGTGGTGTCTCCAATTCTTGCAGTCGAAAGTCCGAAAGTTGCCATGTGGTTGGCCCTTGATCCACTCCCTAGGGATCCAAGTACCTTCTCAGAAGGTGGGACTGGGGTGGCTTTGGAGGGTCCAAGTGCCTTCTGACAAGGCACTTGGATCTCTAGGGACTCACATGTTGAGGCTCAACCTGGCCATTTCGCCCTTTTGTTTGTGCGGTGAAGTGGGGACTTTGTTTGGAGGTTTTCTTCGACAGTGAGATGAAGTGTTCACGAGTTCGAGGCCCTTTGGATCGAGATGAATGTGAGCAATGTCCCGAATCTCCTGGAATCCAACCGCGAGCTCTCGCCAAGCTGCAAGCCTCCTAAAGGCCCAAGCTGTTCGCGCATGTTCGCGCAAGCCTCCCAACAGCTGCAACTGGCTTTGAAGGATGGTGGACCTTCGAACGAGTAGGATTTTGCCACTGATTTGAATATACATGACATCTTTGGGGGCCAAAGGCGATGCAAACGCTGGCTTAAACATACACCTTTACACACCCGGTCGGGCCGATCGATCAGCTTCCGATCGGGTAAGACGTCGGTAAAATCTGGTTCAGATTCGTGCCGTCATATATTGTATGTTACATGGAATATGCAAGTAGTCAATGAAGTTCCACCTGAGACCATCGGCCATGTTCGTTAAAGCTCGCTGCCCAAATACCGCTGCACAGGCTACGTGCTCCAGAAAGGCGTGACCATCAACATCGTGGCCCCGGTGGATCCTGACTCCCGGACAAAAGACCAGGAAGTTAACGTGCTGTTCTTCTCTGGATTCTTCGCAAACAATTTGACACATGCCTCTTTTCCAATCATGTTTGCATAGTAGATGCTACATGATGCTACATAATGTTCAATTGTCCTTCAACATGCTTTGATTGGCCTCTTCCACTCTACAAGTGGCCGCCCCAAGGACTCCCCTCTCGCGAAGCTCACCCCGGCTGCGCCCACTTCGCCCAACACCACACCCCGCGCGGCGCCCGCGGCGCCGATGCCGGCGAACGCCAACGCCACGCCGCGGCGCTGGTCCTTCTCGGTGAGTCCGAGCGGCAGTCCGGCGCCGTGGTGTGGAGACGGTAGCGGACGCGTTGATGTTTGTCGATCGACTCCGGTATGAAGGGGCTTTACATATCCCAGGCACTCCATGGGACTGCCATATAATATGCCGCCCCATTGACCCCCAAAACCACCCCTGGCCTGATCGGCATATATGGCAGTCCCATGGAGTGTTTGGGTATAGGTTACAATCCAATTGTGATTGTTTGTTAACCAAGAGATATCAAGACGAGTCTACATTCTACATGAGTTTCTACATTATAAAGGTTGAAATCATTTGACATCACCACCCAATCCCGCGCTGAAGGGGAAGTTTTCTGAGAACAGGGCTGCCGGGGTAGGTCGATGCGTGGACGCAGCACAGGCGGGAAACATGAGGATCTTGGGTTCACTACTGATTACAGAAAAATCACAGGCAGGATGATACTGATCTTGCAGTGCCCTCGTAGGATCGAAGCATGAGGATTGGTCAGTACCCGGGTTCCCCCGGAGTCGCGAAGCTCCACGAAGTGGACGAAGTGGACGACGGTGCCAACGGCACGGTCCAGCTGAGACGAGACGAAGGCACTGCCAATCCAAGGTGCCAACACCACGTTCGATGGCTTTAAGCCCCAGTGCTGTGAGCCTTAGCCCTCTCAACAGCCCTGTGCTTCGTACCTTGGTACGGTTCAGTCAGGTGGCACCTGGTTGGAAGGGGACTGGCGGGAGGTTGGAGCACATGCTCTTAACACGTGCAACGTGATCCTCATCCCAGTCTGGTCCTGAGCCGTTTTTTGCGAAAGAAGCTGCCTCTAGGCTCTGAAGAGTCCGATGGTGCTCCGATTGTGCCACAAAAATCACATGAATAAGTACTGTAAACATACACGTATTTAATCATGTGTTTACATTGTTTTACAAAAGCATATACTTTTTATTATCTACTTGTTTTACGGAGAAGACTGTAAATGAAGACAATAAACACACGTATGTGAACACGTGTTTTCTTTTTCTGGTCGTTCCACCAGTTTCTCGCAGCGAGGTTTGAAGATTTGCGAATCATTGAGGTCCAGAAAATCCTCACATCTCCCACTTGTCCCACCAGGTCCTTTCCCCTCCCCTATACCATCATACCATCATGCCATCCTATGGCTTTTTCTCATGAATCTCTGTATCCAGGAGTCACATGTCGGGGTGGTGTTGAGTCCAAGTTTGGCACCCCTTTGAAATCCTTTCAAAGAAACTGGATCATGATACATTGCTTCCAGCTTGGAGGCCATCGCAATTGGAGTTCGAAACTGGATCGCCTCACCTCACACCTGTCACCCCCCTGTAAAACCAAGGCATCGCCGAGCCCCGGCGCATGTCGGAGCCCACCCTGCTGCGGCAGTTCATCTCCCGCTCGGCCGACCAGCTCCCGCAGCTCCCGGCCAACACGCCGCGGCTGAGCGAGTTGCGCCCGGGCACCACCGGCGCCACCACCGGCGCGTCCGGTGGCGGGGCCTTTGAGGTTCGTTGCGTGGAGCGCAAGTGGAGGTAGGGAAATGGGAAGCATGTGGGGGGGGGGGGGGGGGAATCACTTCTTTGGGGAGGATCTTGGAGCAGGATGGGACAAGTGTTGGTGTAAAGATGGGACATGATGGGACGTGTCAGTTTGCTTTTCCACTTTGTTTCTGATAGTGTTCAGATGGTGTTCAGTTCACTCATGAGTGCCTGAGGAACAACAAAGATATTACATGACTTGGTTTCCTTTAAGCCTTTGTTATTTAATCACGTATGTTGGCACAATAGACATATTATATATATATATTATGTGTGTATGCAAAGTGAACACTGTTCAAACATGTTGAAATGCTGAGTCAAGGCTGTGTCACAAGACCATTTGGCACAGATGGCACAAACCATTTTCTGAGTTGGCTAAGGTTGTGTAGGCACTTGTTCAAGCCTGACGTAATTAATTGTTCGACCCTTTTGCTGGTCCTGCCTGCTTTTCTATGCTTTTAGGACATCGCCGAGGTGGTGATCCAAAAGCACAACTCCGAAATGATTGTACAACACCTTTATCAACATGATGGTGTTCCACATCCTGTGGCTCTATGTCTTCCCCAGTTTACTCCATCCATCCATATAGAATCAGCTTGATCATGTTTGATCTATCTCCACTGAGGAGATATGGCTTTGGGCTTTTGGCCCTTCGACCCCAACCTGCCGGCGCTCCGCGCGCCGCTGCTGAGTGCCCTGGGCGCGGACCCAAAGGCCTCGGACGCGCGCTTCGAGGCGATGCGCGGCTTCCACGGAGGGCTCAATGAGGGCGCCTGGGCGAAGGACGAGGCGTCAGCGGCGGGCGGGGTGGGCCGTTTTGACGGCGTCTTCCGTCCATTGGACCGATTCCGGGGTGTTCGTTGTGAGCTGCCTTAGTAGGACAAGTTGTTGAGTTGGCCATGCTGTATGGAAGATGTTGAATATCAAACACGTTGACGTCCCTGGTTCTTGTCCCTTTTTGGCAGCCCAGACCACTGGGATCACTGAGTGGCGAACCTTTTGGGGGGGGGGATGAACATGAGAGTGTGGCTTGGGTGGGAGAAGCGTAGCCATGCATAGCCGTGCCCATTCGGGTGGTGTTTCTTTTTGAGCCGATCAGAACACCAGCAAGGTATTTGGTTCATGAAAAGCAGCAGCTGGCGCCCAAGTGAGCTGAGAAGAGGGGCTGCAAGAGATGAGCTGAGAAACTTTCTCACACCCATTCTACGTTCGAACGACGTTAATGTCTCAATAGAAGAGGAGTCAGTGCGCAGGTCCTTTCATCTCGGCCGTTGTACTTTTCGCTCGTACTTTTGGAGATCCAAGTCTTCCACACTGTCCGCACGTCTTCTTTCGCCTCGACCGCGCTCCCCACTTTCGCCGAGGCCAGAACTTGGTGTTGAAGTTGGTGAAGTACGATAGGCCGAACCGTCGAAGGATGGCCCATCGAGGGACGGTCCTGCTTTTGGGGCGGGCCACTTCGCGGCTTGGGGGATGGCCCTTCAACCAGGCCTTGACGGCACTCTGATGCATTCTCTTTGTGGTGTTTTTGGGACGATGCCTTGGCCGTTTTGGGGGCTAAACTTGGTGAGGTCGGGTCTTCGTATTTGCCCAGCACATTGGGGGGCAGGTGGGTCATCAACCTGAAGCCTTTGAGTGACTCGGTCACCTTGTTTCGTTCCAGTGGAGACGAGTGTTGGGGAGCGGACCCAGTCGAAGGCTGTGGAGGTGAAAACCTCGGTCTTCAGAACATGCCAGTCTGTTCGGCAAGGGACGAGATCGGGAAGGGCTTCGTCTTGCCAAGTTCTTGAGTCTCCAGAGTTCCACGCGGTTCTACTCTTTTTGCGGCTCTACTCTTCTTTGAATAATCAGCAGATGCGGATGCTGAAATTGGACAATTCAAAGGGTTTTGAAAGGTTTTGGGGGTGTTCTACTTTGTTTTCACAGGGAGACAGAGACAGACAGACAGATACATACAGAGACAGACGCAGACAGACACAGACAGACAGAGACATACAGAGAGAGAGAGAGAGAGAGACAGAGGTGGACACCCACACACAGACAGACTGACAGAGAGAGAGAGAGAGGGAGAGTGCCGCTTGTTCGGTGCCAAACCTTCTGCGACCTTCACCTGCCGAACCTGCCAGGTTTGCTCCGCCGCAGTTGATTGAGGAACGGATGTTTTCAAAGCTCTACCAGGAGCCTTTTGGTTTCACCGATGTGGGGGGCCAGTGTAACACCATCTGCGAGCCTAACAGGCCTAGCACCTAGGCAGGGACACTGGGGCGCCGTGAAAGCGTGGGTACTAACTATCACTTCAATCACTTCATGTCGTCACCATGTGTTCACATGTTTTCCCATGGCTGGTGATGGGATGAAGCCCAGTTTTTTCAGATGGCACATCCCATCCAGCATCATGCTGGGATGGGGCTCGGCACAAGAAAACACAGAGGGTGCGTGACCCTTTAAAGCAATGAGATGGCTGAGCCAGCCCTACAAGTCAATGACCTCATTGTACTGGAGTTGGTCATACAAAAACACGACCCCAGGGAGGTCAAAGACCAGGTTTTAGTATAGGGAAATGCATGTGTTTGAGGAACTCCAACAGATCTGCGTGTTCTATCCTTGTTCTGTGCTTCGTGTTCTGTCTCCGCCAGGAGATCCCTCACATTGCGGAGGATCCCAGTGTGGCCTTCCCCACAAAGGTCTTCAGACTGCTTGGTCCCAACAATGTGCGGCGCCACGACGCTTGGTCGCGCCCGCTGACGCGGCGCATGCGGCGCATGCGCACTGACCGGTATACTACGCGCGGTCAGCGCAAGTCCAGCTTCGCCTGGTGTCTAGTGGGTCAAGTTGGAACTAGACTATCTATCTGGAAACCATTGTTGGAACTAGAGAACTATACCTTGACTATATACGTGATATGTCTTGTGACTTACACTCCCTGGACTCATCATGGGGACGTAGAGTTCGGTATTGGGCAAAAGGAACACCCTGGAACAGGGCCGTGCGGGCCATCCACAGACCAGGAGTCGCCACCAGTGGGTGTATACGCCCCTGACGTTGTATGACGATCGTACCAGGAGACAGAAGAATCGCTGCGCAAGAGCGGAAGAATCGCTGCGTTTTGCGGGAGACAGTCGTTCCTTTTCCGTTTTTTTTGCCCCAAACTTACAACAAATCGGTGCTGATCCGATCGGGGCACCTCCTGGGGCACTCTGGGGCATGCAGCAAGCTGCGTCTAGACAATGATGAGTCCGATCATTTGCAGCAAAGGACAGTTTTTGTAGGTTTTTGTAGTGTTAGTGTTGTAGCACCCCATCATCAGTGGCATGCATGGGAGATGGGGCCTATATTTTGGTTGTTGGTATGTGAATTTGTGGGCCAGAAAAACCATGCAGTGTTACCTTCTTGTCCTCTCTGACCAGGGAGAAGCATGAAGCAACCCTAATTATCCGATATACTTTTGAATGGGAACCAGATCTTCACAAAAACATTCACGCAATGACTTCGAAACCTCAGAGTGAGATCCGCAACCAAAACTGCCGAGGATCTCATCGTGATGCGCCGGGCTCCCGGGAAGTCCTTGGAGATCATCATCTCCGAGAAGTGGAGGACCAGCTCACGCACGGCATCCTGCGCTGACATCACGCACGAGTCGTAACGCGACACGGAACGCTGCGCGGGCGACTCGGACGAGCGCCGCGCGGCGGAGCGTCGACGGCAGACGGTTGGGCCTGTGCCACCGGGTCGCGACGGTCCAGACGGACCAGACCGTGTGAGACCGACGACGAACATCAGAAGACCACGGAGACGCGGCGCCAGGTTGGCGTCGGTGGTGGTTCTTTTGTCCCCAAACACGACCTGTCTGGGACTGCCAGTCCGGACTGCCGCCCCAGACAGACCCCCCCCCCAGTCCACCACCCCCTGGCCAAAACATCGGCAGTCCGTCCTGGCAGGTCCCATGAGTCGTGTTTGGGTAGAAGGTTTTACAATTCAATTTGGTATAAGTTTGGGTATAAGTCCCATGGAGTGTTTGGGTATGGAATTGTTTGTTAACCAAGAGATGACGCAGTTTCGTCCTCCCCGTTCTCGAGATGAGACATGGGCCTTTTGCGACTTGGTGGACCTCGGTGGGCGAGCCACGAGCCAGTGGAACAATGGATTTGGACGGTGTAGGTGTCAAGCCAACAGGGGTTGAAGAACTCGACTGTTCGACTATCCCAGTGCGGTACCACAGCAGGGTCCTTTGTCAGGTCACTGGCTACCTCTCTTGGAGTGTTTGCGTTCAGTTGTTTGCTGCCCTTCAAATGGCCGTGGCCATTTCTGGTGTTTGTCCTCCTGGCCATGGTCTGTCGATGAAAGTTGTTTGTGAAGAGAGCCCTGCCTATAGGCAAGGTATAGGGTCCAAATGTGTGGATGTTCGGTTTGGTATGCGTGGAGGACCAATCGCAAGGGCGACATCATGAAGATCTTCTCGCAAGTGGGGGAGTGCTTTGCACGTTTCCACAGGCACAGACTGGGGATTTGAAGAGAGTTTAGATGCGCCTGTTTTTATAGGCTTAGGGAAGATGGAACAGCAACCAATCTGAGGGCAAGGGACGAATCTGGAATATTTGCTTTCAGTGAAAGTATTCAGATTATTCAGATAGACATTCCATGACACACCCAAAACTCTACAGAATGTTTACAGGATGCAACGATGATCAAGAAGTCCCATCCCTGGGCCCTGCAAATAGGGCCTGAGCAATATTCAAACACTCTCAAGGCCCAAGGCTATGAACGGGATGGAGAGAGGGAATAATACACCAAACCTACGGCGACAACAGGCTAAATTGATAGAACGGCACCAACCAAAGAGCACATGTTTGGTTATTAGACAAATACAATGTTGGTTCCCACTTCGTATCAGACACTTAGTATAGTACTATCTCTCGCATCTCAACCAAATTTTCCCCTGTCAGATGGCCCCCTGGCCTTGTTGGAAGCCATCCTCCGACCTCCCGGTCGACGCGATCCACCGCTGGACACAGCCGAAAGGCGGTACGGTGGACGGCAGCACAATGATGCCGGAACCCAGAATGTCCTCTACGACGAGGAGAGAAGCGTGGGACATCTTGAGATGAAGCGTGCGATACCCGAACTGAGCCAAGAGAGATCGAAAGATATCGAAAGTCAAAGAGATCTCTAAAGTAACTGTAAAGAGCACTTTTTTCTCAGAGTTCCTCTCCAGTTATAGTTGTTCATCATTTTTCTGATTTGACTCTCTCTCTCTCTCTCTCTGTCTCTTTGAATTTCTAAAAAATATACTGACATGTATGAGCATATAGCCAGTTGTGCGAGCATCACCCTGTTTCATACGTTAAATGCGTTTGATGTCCTGGTGATCTGATTGTACCGGCATCTTAGTTACAAAAACACTCCAACATATCTTTCCATATCCACAAAGACAGGTACCTCAAGCCCCCACAAGTTAAGCCTGTGACCTTCCACGTCCACATCAGAGGCACAAACCCTTTATGGCTTTCAATGATGCAATTGGAAGGGAATAGACTTGCTTGGGCGCTGCAGACTCCCCAGCACATCACCCCTCATCGGGCCCCCCAAATGCGCCCTGCCCTGCGTGTCCGTGGGACTCAACGCCTCTTCAGAGGAGACGCAACAAGTGACCCTGATCGACTTGGGGGGCATGGGAAACAAGACGGACAAGACCGACGTGGAGCGCCTGTGTCAGGCTTTGGCCGCACCGTTCGGTCGGAGCCGGACGGACCGGGGACCGGGACCCGGACCGGACCGGCGGTCGTACCGGCGGCATTGTGTTGTGGGAGGGGGACCACGTGCTTTTCCTTGTTTTGGACTCTTAGACGTTTGCTTGAACCACCACAGCATTGTACGGGGGAGGGGCAAGTATGGGGCAAGTCATCCAATGAGAATCGATATGAGAGACCTTTTTAGGGTCCCGTGAGTCCAGCAACCTCCCCCACCAAGCTAAGGTTGACCTCGCGGTCCCCATATAGTTCACCGATCAAGCAACCGATCCGCCAGTTCCGGCGAAGAACGGTCGACCTTCGACGTGGTTCCGAAAAGCCGCACTCCACGCGTTTTTCTGAAAATCTTCGCGTGTTTTCTCGGTCGCATCAGCTGTCAGATGCGGGGGTCGGTCTTCAGAGAGCACAGCACTCTCGGGCACTGCAAGAATCAATTGGTGTGTGGAGTCTACCTCAGATGGATGTTTTTGGGGCGGGTTTGCAGGGCGGCCACGGACTCATGGACCAGCCATGGAGAAGGTGGATGATTGGTTTTCCTCAAACGCAGCAGACACTCCATGCATGGAAATCTAGAGATTAAACATTGACCCGTTTGACCCTTTTTCAACTACCCCAACGTGTCATAAACAAACTTCCAAAATATAGAAAAAGAGTCCCAGACACTCCATGATGCCACATATGCCTACATTGACCCCCAGTCAACCACCCCTGGCCGTGTCTCGGCAGTCCGTCCTGGCAGTCCCATGGATCGTCGTGTCTGGGTATAGTATGGTATAGTATACAAGTCACAGCCCCATGGGAATCGTCCCAGACATGGGTGGTTCCGACATGTCCAGCTCGACAGTTGGTGAAGAAGCTCTCTCTTTGTCCGACTTATGGCCCGGAACTGGCGGTCTGGAGTCCCAGCTGCGGATGAGATGGGCGAGCCATGGGCCATACCATGCCGAAACAGCCATGAGATGGCATGGAAGAGAGACCTTAGTTTTGTCGTGTTCGCTCCTAACTGGCCAATATGACACATTATGACACATGTTCAATACATGAACTGCTTGGCATTGCACGTACGAGCTGTGGAAAGAGCATGCGAGAACCCGCAAACAAGCCTATCACTAAGGCGGCAGCCGATCACTTCCGTGAAGGCCAGGATCCTCGACCGGTGTCGAAAGCATAAGCAAACCGGTGTCGTCAAGCCTGGACAAAACTCTCCGGACTCGTTCGTGATGATTCTTGCTGGTACCCTAGAAGTCCAAAGACTATATTTTGACCGGCTGAAGTAAAGGAAGTTCCCTTTCAGTTCCCCTAAAGACCATTCTTTTTATAGTCTTTGACTCCCAGGGGGTAGTTTGATTTATATAGTTCTTTTCATTTTGAACCATCCCAGACCATCCGCGTAGAAAATCTGTGTACCGTATCTACATGTTGTCCCTTAAAGCATCTTAGAATCACCGTAGGTCAATCTTCAATGGTTCGGGGAGGAGGCGGCATTTTTGGGCCCCTTTTTGAAGACCGCTGAAGACCTGTGCAAAGACCTTCTGGCATGTGGTTTGCTACAGGAAGTCGGTGGTCCCTTTGCCAGGCATGACCCTTTGGGCTGGTTTTCACTACCAATGTGAGGACATTGACAAAATGCAGCCGTCTTAGACTGTGACTTCACTGTGGCTTCCATCCACATCGAGGTTCTTCTTCCCGCGCCGATGATATGAAAATTGAAACAGAGCCTCATACCGGGAGTCACAAAGTGGTGGTGAGTGGATAGTGGGCATCCCTATCCTCCAAGTTCGGCACCCCTTTGCGACTTGCGTGGTTTGATCCTCAATGCATTCTTCAACTTTCAGAACAGCCCTGGCCTCACCCCAGCCCTGGCCTTGCAGGCTATAACCGGGCACTCCAAACAGCTCATACTCTCTGAAGCGCTCCCCCTCAGACGAGGCGGGCTCGCCGCTCTGGAGTAGACGACGACGCGAGACGACGACAAGACACGTCGTCTCCTGTAGGACAGACTCTCCATGACTTGACTGAACGGCAAAAGGATACCGATATGGGGTGGTGGTAGACGTCGTAAGTGTGTTTTTGTTTGTTTTCATATCGTATTTAAATATATTTAAATCTGATCATCATGATGTCACAGCAAGATTGCACACGACTTTTGTGAAGTCGGCAGAGTTTTATTTAGCATGACACGGTGATGTATCTCCGCATGTGTGGAGGATTCCTCCCGAGGCGGATTTGCCCAAGGCAATTCATGGAAGGTCACGACCTGTGGCTACTCACGAGCAGTGCCACATTCGCACAGAGACCCGGTCCCCGGGGTGTCACCGGGGCTTCCGGTCGAGGAGCCGGGTCTGCACAAGCAGATCAGGCCCACGCGGACCCGCGCAGAGGCACCGCGCGGAGGATCCGCGCTCATCGGGTTGCGGCACGTCTTGCGCAGATGGCGCAGATGCTGTCGCTGAGATCGATGCTGTAAAGAGCCAGGCACCTTTGCTTGATGTGAAGTTATCCTTTTGGGCGGTGCCACTCACGGACGTGTTTATATAAAAAGTTGTTTGGAAGGATTTGGAAGGTACCTGAAGCCATGCTTGATCCCAATGATGTCTGCCATTAGATGGCAGCTTGCCTAGGTGCCACCTGACTATGTTTCAAGAAAGATCCTCATCATGACGATCACACGAACACATGTAAGATCATCTAAGAATCTAAGTATATACACATTGGTTGGTGTGCAAAGGCAAGGTGGCGATCAGATCGCATCATGGGCCAAACACTCTCGACTCTTTATCAGTTGTGTCAGTATTTTCAAGTTTTTGCTGACACTCTGATGAAGATTTTCCAAGCATGGTGGCTGGACATGTGGCAATCAGAGAGTTTGTGTTTGGGCATGTGCCACGCCATGTTTGTAATGCCTTGGAAGACCATTTTCCTCAACAAACAGGGGGGTTGTTCACCACTTCCATGTTGGTTTGAGACAGAGTAAGTTCTCAAAAGGGCTGGACCCCTCAGTTGAACGCAGCAAACTGGTTTGACTTTAGAGGAATTGTCTTCGAACCCAGCTTGGTCCGGATCCAAGCTGATTTGTTTAAAGATTCAGGGAGTGTGTATGTTGTTTCTTGTCGTGCAAGACATATTGTACGACATTCTTTTTGAGGTGAATGCCAAACTAGATGTCAGGGGTGACAGGTGTCCTCAGGTGTTCCAATTAGACATGTCGACATGATTGCCCATCTTGATCCATCTTTCATGTCTACCGTCTTTGGATATCGCGTCTATCGAAAGACACATTAGATCTTTTGCTCTCTGTGATTGCCACCTCCACCGTCTCAGGGGCGGATCCAAAACATGCGCATCAAAAGCACGCCGGGAGTGATGTTTTTCTTCTTTTTTTCAGTGGGAGCACGGTCTAGACTGTGCTGTTTTTCACTAAGGCGTGAACACGTAGGGCTATTTCGTGGGAACGACACCACTCAAACATCACCAGCGTCCTAGAGGTGATTCGTGATACGTACGAAAACACATGAATCATGGTTCCATTTAAGCAAGGTTCCACTTACTCGTACCATGAAGAAGACTCTTTCAAACATGAAGAAAGATGAAGAACTGCACCTTCTTCACAGAACTTCCGATACCATCCACGAAGAAGAAAGGCGTTGTAGGGGTGCGGGGGGCGTGTCGTCCAGACATCAGCCAATACACCCGAGGCTGAAGTCCAAAGACTTGGCACCGCCCAAGTAAAGGAAGTTCCTTTTCGGATCACCTAGGCCTAGGCGGACCGGACAAAAACCTGGTCGACTGGACGAAACCAGGGTAGAACAGCTTGATCTTGCTGGTGTTTCGTAGTTGAAGCGCCGTCGGCCCCCAAGGCCACGGACAAACAATGTCAAACTCCTAAGCGACGCGCCTCCGAAACAACGCCGGTCGTTCGCGCCTCCGAAACAACAGACGCCTCCCCCAGACAGGACGATCCATAGGACTGTGGTTCACCCGGGTTCAATGGGGCGGCATAGATGCATTCCATATATACCACCATCTGGCTACATGATATACCTTGGAAGTCCAAGACAATTTTACAAAGGGTTGATTTGGCTTTAAGCGTCAAAGACTTGAATGTAAATCAATGGTTGTTTAGTTGTTCAAGTAAATGGTGCTTTACTACAGCACTAGGGTATACCAGGGTATACTAGGGAGCTATATATATATGGTATATATGTTCCAGACATGTCTTGAAGAGATGAATGAAGACTTCAAGATCGTCTTATCATGGAAGACAGACTATCGACATGTTCTATCCATCATGGATCAGAAGCCATTTGGCTCACTCGACCGTCCCAACCGAGGTCACCTCTCTGCGCTCCTGGGGACTGAAGCGCTTCGGCCTCCTGGCGACGGTCGTTCGGGTGACCGCGGTGACCGCGGTGGACCGGGGGAAGAGCTGAGGATACGTGGGGGTGAGGGGGGGGTGGAGCCAGAGAGTTGGGAGAACTGCGGGATTCCTGGTAGAAGAATGGTGTGTTTTTGTAAGTCGTTGGGCTTTTTTTTGGAGGGTTTGGGCCAGCGTGGGTCGTGATGTCCTGTGATTTCTGGCCATTCAAAGGGTTTGGGATATACTTAGATGACTTAGGCTTAGACGATATTTGTATACATTTGTAGACTTTGACCTCACGTAAACCACAACAGGCAAACAATATTTTGAACAATAGGTCGTTTGGAGTAACTACTGCACAATTGAATCACTAAAAGGATCTAAGGGGCTTCCTGATGTCGGATTTGAGATGTTATCAGATCAATCACTGCATGTTGATATATTGTATCACTGGTATTTGGATCAGATCGACCACTCGACGATGAACAAAGATCAGATCACCATAGATCACCATCCTATGTGTTCACCCCTGTTTTGTTTGCAGCCGGAATCACTGGCCTTGGGGCTTGGAGCCCTTAGAGCAGCGCAACCAAACAAACACTACAAACAAAGAATCCAAGCAAGATCAATCATAGAAACCATCAAAATAGGACACAATAAAACAACCATCAAAATAGCTATATATCAAAAATCAAACAAAGAATACACAAGCAAACAACAGAAAGGATGTTTGGATCCCTCCCTTCGCAACGGAGCGGCTTGGCTCGCATTCGCCACTGATCAGTCCTCCCGCTTGGCTCGCACGGCGCTGACGACGGCTGACGCTGACGACTCAGGTCTTCAGGCGCAGAAGGCTTTGGAAGAGAGGTTCAAGAGATGTCTGAGAGCTCAGGTCTTCATCCATCACGTGAATCTCAAGAAGAATAAGGCAGTCACAACCACAAACAAGAACAGAACGATAACAAGAACAACAACAAGAAGAAGAGCAAGAACAAGAACCATAACAAAAAGAACACGTCGCATTTCGTGGTGACTTCATCAATGCTACTTTTGTGATGAAGATGTGTGACGTGCTTGGATGATTCAAGTGGACGCAATGAGCCAAGCCACACTCGCAAAGCCATACATACACAGGAAAAGCATTGGAAACACTTAAAACATACAGTATTACCGATGTACACTTCCTGGAATAATATTTCCAGTACAGCAAAATGGTCGTCATCCAAGAATCCAAGCAGCCATTTTCCACTTCTATGGTAATTCCGGGGATTGTACGGCGTAAGGAACTGAATGCTCCATGGTTCTTTCCACGCAAACCGTGTTAGCCGGGTTGATTTGTAAGCGAGTAAAAAAACATGCCATGTGACGCTTAACGACTTTCACCCTAAACGATGTAGAAAAGCAGGACATGATGAGCCTCACATGATGAGCCTCTGATCGCTGTCACTGTGCCGGGAGTTCGATCATGAAACAACGATCGAAATGAAACGATCTCCAAAGCGAGAGTTCCTGTATCGTCCGTATGCCTGTATCGCCCACAACGGACGCGCTTGGTTTGCGGAAGAACGGTCGTTGCGGGCGTCTCCGTCGCCGCTGCGCGGGACGAGGCTTGGATCCGAAATCTGGTCGATTTCTGTGGAAGGAAGTGTCAGAAGCTTAGGATCTCGATCTGGCTTGATCGACAACTCGATCTGGCTGGATTTCGGATGGATGATCTGATCTGTCTCAGTTGAGTCTCAATTGCGTCTCAATTCCGGGATGATTCATCCAGTCTTGGTCGCACGGTCGGTGCGCCGGTCGCACGGTCGGTGTTTCACCGACCAGTCTGGTCCTTGCGCCAGAATACCCTGCGACCTGGCTCACAAGGTTTGGCACCCAGAATGCTGTGAAGCTCGAGTCGGGCAGCTCAGGAGCGAGCTGAGTCAGTCAGGGGTCACCGCGCGCGGACGCTGCGCTCTGCGCGCGCTGCGCGGGCGCTGCGCGGCGCCTGAGACGGTCATGCTGATTGGAACGGTTTAAGAGTGAAACCACAGAGAGGAAACTGGTTGGTGGATGAGGAATGAAGTGGATGGACTCACATTATGAGATTCTTGCCGTAGCTTGGCTTCACTACCACGATGTACTAGTAGCATCTAGTAGAAACGATTACAGTAGATGATTGGAGCGACAAGAGCGTTGAGAACGGCTGCCAAAGCCTCATGGCTGGACATGAAAGCACGAGGCTGAACACGTAGGTCAAGTGCGGCAAACGCAAGAATTGTCTGGAAGAGATCAAAAACAGCCATCGACAGCCACAACGTTTGTGTATACAAACAGCGTGTTTGGAGCGAAGGCGCGCCATTTGGGTGTCGCTAATAGCCATGGAGATCACACCAGCTGAGAATGGTGAAAAAGGCTCGGACCGTCCGGTGTCGATATATCGCTGGTGATGGAGAGTGGTCCGTAGTATGTGTTTTGTTTTGCAGGTACATATACCCTACGCACCCAAACCCTATAAATTTGTAGGGTCGATGGAAAAA